AGTTTCGAAGGTCACTCGTTCTTCGAGTTGACATCCTTACAATACTGAAATTATATTTCACAACGTTGTTGATTTTTGAAGGAAGACATCCACGTATTTGTGGCCTGAGGTTTCCAGTAGAAGCCCTACGCTTTCCCTGGAACTTTGTGCGAGCATTGTTTATTTGCACCGATTCTGCGAATGACGGGCAGGGGATTTTTATGTTATTTTTGGTTTAGTTTACGGGAAATCTTTTGCTTCACAGGATCTCTTTTCACTGTGGTCGATATTCACTTGTGACTTACATAGCCTTGGTACTCTGATCCCATCAAAACGTTGACCCTATGTACTAGTAGCTAATTCTGCCACCAAAGTGCCCAGAACGGAAACTGACGTAAACTTCGGTCAACTTTTTCCCCGAAGTTGTCTTATTTATCCCGATATAATCATTTTCACGCACACCATGTAGGAAACTATTTGTTTTTGATAGTACCTCCGAGCAACTGTTATATAACGCTAACGTGAGACTATTCGACCCAAGGAAATGTCGTTTCTAAGACAAGAAGTCAAATTTAATGGTTGCCAGATTTCGCCTGGATGCATAACGATCCTTCCTTAAAGGGTACAGTTTGTCCAAGCTTGGCCAGTATTCGAGAATAAAACACGAATAGGGAATTTCCTTTGGCTCCCTTTTTATTTACACACGTTTCGTTCGTAGCCTTGTCCCAATTGCCGCCACTCCGAATTGACGCTCAATCACGACAGTGCATTTTACAGGTTAAAGACAGAGCTTCGTGTGGCCTTATCCAGTGCTCAGCCCGAGGACTCAATCTTCATTCTCGGTATGGGTGCAAGGAGCTTTGTCGCTAATGCTGTTCTCTCTCAACCCGGTTTGAGTAACGTTGAACATGCTTTTTTGCCCTTGATTGCCTCACCGAAGCACGCAGTAATTATTGTACCTCTCGCCGCGACTTACCGGCCACTTTTTAACATTTCTCCTGAGGTCGTTCTTTTCACCCCCGTACCCATCTCAGAGCACTCCAATGGACCAGCGAACTCGATGCAATGAATTTTTCAAGACCTAGATTTTAAAGGTCCATGCTGATCAAGTCAAAAGTGCCGACGCTGTGTCAGTTTTGACTTCTTATCAGTCAATGGAGCGGGACGTACTGCACATTTCAGTGAATGCTATTATCATTAACGAACAGACACATGGCATTTGGTTTTCGGCCTTATAAAATGATTCCGGCACAGACCTTATCTACCAAAGTATAGCTCAGGTAGTAGCATCTAGCTCATACCTTACTATCGATTCTCCAACACTTCCTTTCTCAGTATGATTATACCTGGGTCTCTTATCGAAACTGTTGCCAGAACTTCATGGAGAATTACGTCGTTCCGACCAGAACAGCACAGATTTGGCCACACGTGTCTGATTTTGGTGCCCCAACTTCCTACCTCTGTCTCCATATTCTGTCAGTCATGCTCCGCATGTGCATACTTCAGATCACCAGGCTGCTTCCCACATGCTTCGTGTAGCCGATGACTACAGGCTTGCCTGAAGAACGAGTCGCGCTCCACGTTATCGGACCCCTTCCGATCTTTACGGAGAAACGGATACATCCTTGTAGTATAATCGACTATCTTGTTAAGCAGACCGAGACAACACCATTACTCCGCCTATGCCGCCTTTCATGAGTGGGCTTTTCGGTGGGCGTTCCACTGTCGTTTCACTTTGGTCACACGATTTTTTCAGGGAATGTACGGTATTCTAGATGTACGCAAGACACAAAACTCCGTCACTCCGAAAAAGTGCTCCAGTCAAACGTGTCGGCCTAACACTCAAGAATCCGTCTCTCGAATTCGCCAAAAACGACTGTGAACGTGGTTGGGGCGTTCACTCACCGTTTTGTCCGCTTGTTTACCTGGGATCAATTCATTCCTCTATTGGTTTCAAACGAATTTCTCTGATCAAGTCAACACCTGCGCCAGCCGTTCCTAATGCACAAGGTAGCTAACTCACAATCGTCCCTACTTTCAACGCATTTCTGTTGTAACCGCCTACCCGATTGTGCCCTAGACTCACTGTCAGTACTTCCGGATGACCAAGTTCCTCTAGTAGCGTTCAAGGTCACCATGCTGAGAGGCTACGTAACGACCATTAGTTGAGATTGAAGAAGAGCAGTGCGGGGACGGATTCCATGGCGAGGGCTTACCCAGAATCACAAATTATCTTTGTGACCGTCCCACCCTACTCTCTTTAAGCTTTCGTTAGTTTCGTTATCGTCAATTGGTCGACTCACTATATTATCCTTTTTTTCGTTGCATTCAGTATACTCACGTATTCGACTTCGGCAGTAACTATCCGTAAGTCAGGTGGGTCTCGACTCTATATGGAGACAGAATCTACCCTTCCTGTTTTGGAATTGCGAATCGTAATCTTCTACCCAGAGTACGCACCTACGCCGAACAGGTATAAATCGAAAGCCACACTTGTTTCGCTCTAGAGAACTGGTTCACAAGACCGGACGGGCTGTAATTGCGGCTCAGACACATGCTGCTCCTACAAAGGGGTAGTACGTTTGCCAGCCAATATTTCGTATCATCAGGATGTCTGCGTTCTTCCCTTTTAGTAACCCTTCTTACGCGACCCGTTTGGCGTCCGGCCGTTATGTGCTAGGACGCCACTGCAACTATCACGAAACTGATTCGGCCGACACCGAAGTATTATATCCTAGAACAGACCGGATTCTCCGAGTGAGCGTTGCGTGGGTAAGGTTTAAGACAATGCCGTCTGAGTTGAGAGGGTAACTACTTAGTCCTTAAAGATGAAACGCCTGTTCTGGCTGCCAAATATGCTACTTAGAAGAGTAGACGCTCCTCCAACTGTGGCGTGAATTAGGGTTTCCAGCCGCTCTGGCCGCTGAGATTGTTTTCTTAGCCGGTTATTGCAATCAACAAACATTTAATGGTCTTGTTGCTTCTTCCTACTGGTGCCTACATTTAGTTGTTTCTTCTGCTCACATCTGACTTCCTTCCTTTCCCCTTCCCCAGATATATTTCATATATTCGAGTCTCCGACATCTATTATTTTATTCCCATTTTAAGTCCTTGACCTCTGAACTAGCTGATAAGTAGAAATACCATTAGTAAACTGCAAGGACCACCTCTCTGTCCCTCATTGACCTCATATTGATAAACATCGGGCATAGTTTTTTGCTAGTGTTCTAAATATTCAGATTTCATTCCGAGCCATTTTTTGCACGAACACGGTAACTGTTCACCGTGTTTCTCTCCGTTTTTTACTAATTCATTTTCCTTCTGCGCGCCTTCGCATTCCATCCTCAGTGTCCTCCACACATTAAAAGATCGTCAACTGAGTGCGTCCTCTGATTGGGCAAACTTGGTTTATCTCTTCGATATTTCTATTGCAACTTTTTCTTTGGCCTATCATGGCTATCCAGGCCAACAGTATAATCTTTAATTTACTTCTTTCCCTTGTCTAAGCTGCGTCTAGCGCTGTCTTTCAGTCAACTGTGGCGTCAAATTAGCCGATCTCTGGAATTATTTGTCCCAGTTCTACGAGAAGCCCATCACGAACTCGTTCAGTAAAGTATTGGTTTCCTCGTGTAGCGATATTTTCGCACTAAGTAAAGTGATGTTGGCTTCCAATTAGCACTGGAAAGAACTACAAAAGTGCGTATCTGTCATGGGTTTATGTCGGTATTTTTCACTGTTAAGTCTGAGGATGACCAGCAACCGTCCCTAATTAACCAACTAAAATAGTGACATAGCACCAGGGTACTGCATAATTTTACATGATTTGGATGTGTTCGTGTCAGATCGAGCCCACCTCAGCGATGTACCGCGTTGTGCCTCACCGCGCGCGGCAATCTGCTCTGAAGAATCTGGTCAGCCCGACCCATTTTGTATTCTGGTTGCGCAAACTGGATATCAGAGGTCAAATAATTCCGTAGACCTATCAATGAATTACGTGAGCCTAGTAGTCATCTGGTGGATTCTAGGTGAATTACTTAGGAAATCCTGCTTGGGCAGTCAACTTACTGTATCAGATTTGGTGGATTCCAGACGTTGCAGTAGGTTGGGCGGGTAACTTGACCCAAGTGTGATAAAACTCGCGTCGTCCGGCGGGGCCTCGTAGCTCAGGTGGTTAGAGCGTTGGCTGTAGGAAAGCCTTCCCCCTTACTGCGTGGGTTCGACTCCCACCGAGGCGCCGAGTTTTTCACAGTTGGGTCAATATGAAGAATTCCGTAGACATTTAGTAGACTGTATCAAGTAAGCTATGGCGCTGGTTTCGTCGCGTTGAATTTCTTGCAGCTGCACCTCTGACGGACAAAGAATGGCATGTCCATATAACTTCAAATGTCCTTCCTGGGTTGCCTGATACACCTTGGCCATGTCGCATGGATTGTGGGCTGCCTCCTCCTTAGCGAAGTCCGTGTGTTTCACTTGTGGAATCGTCTCCAGACGAAATTGGTTCAAACCCCCCCCCCGTCTATGCGTATCTTCTACACTCCTGTCCGTCATTCGCAATCGCAGGAGAATACGGACAGGTACATGCGCGTTTTGTCGATTGGCATATCACAACGTGAGCATAGATGTCCGCGAAGCCTAGCAAACGCCCTATGATACCCTTATATTTGTTTAATTCCGGTTTAATTCTCGGTTCTACGTCGTATCTTCTACCGCTACTGTTTGATTCCTGTTCGCTCTGTAAGTTGTTTTTGTGGCGGGCTTATTGTTGGCTACGCATATCAAAACAAGCGTTGCTGGAGGCGTTACTGAGCTTTTGTTTTAAAGTAGTATGCCTGGAGACATTTAAGTAGCACTCCCTATCACAGACAGACTCAGGTTTAACAGGGACTGTCAAACCTTACGCCCACGCTGTGGCTTCTATTTGCTGCATCTCTACATCAAACCGCATCTTTGTTTTCTTAGACAGTCTATGCCAATATGGTTGCTTCATTTTCCACTTCAGAAATCGCATCCGACTTTCTGGCATGATGGATCTAGACATGGTGGACATTGATCGGCAACTGGAACTCTTGGATGAAATTGAAGGTACATGTTATTACACTGTTTTCTCATAATTTAAAGCCGAAGAGAGAACCTCCCGATCATCGCTGGCACCAAGTTCATTATCCATACCGGCTACCATGCCGGCCCCGAAACGTCGGAAAACCCTGATTGCAGAGAATTGTGCTCCTGTACTCGAGAAGGTTCATACAAACTCGGCTGCCGAATGCCAATCAGTGGTTCTCAATGACCGTATCCCTGAGACTGGTGACTATGTTCCAGTTACCTTCCTCGATGGTCGGAGAAAATACCTCGCAGTGGAAGAAGTTGAGCAGGAGAAGCTTCCAACCGCCTCGACCACCCGACAGCCCTTAGTGCTTGACGACCTTTCCAGATTGGTTGAAAGTGCAGAACGATTGGTTTGGCCCTTTCATTCCTGACCTGCGTTTTACATCTTCCAGATTTCGTTTAAGCAGATCATCGAGACCGGTGAGCCAAATGTGTCGACAGGCACGTCCTCCCCTGCCATCTCTGAGTCATCTCAATTGTGGGTCAAAAAATATGAGCCTGTCCGTTATCTGGACTTGATATCTTCTGAGGTAGGTGTGTGCACATTTTTTTCGTCCAGTACTGGCTGTCACCAGGACAAGTTTTGCCGTATGCGACCGTAAATTTCGTAGTAGTTTTACCGCTACTTTTGAAAAATATTTGTGGTAAGGTGTGGTTATGTAGCCTCACCTGATGGACATAATACTGTTGACCTACTTAATTGTTTTGAGTTGGTGTGATTACTTTGGCATGGTGTTGCTGTGCGTTGCGGTGTGTGTTCTGTTGGCGGCCTTGTTTTTCTGTTGCCGTGTCCATCTTTTCCTGTCCAATGCTGGTGGTCCTTCTTGACTTTCAGCCTGTTGCCTTCTAACTTTCGCGTTGGATGTTTCAGGGCTATGGTTTAGGGCTGCGGTTAGGGGTAAGGGTTGGGGTTAGCGTTAGGGCTTAGGGTTAGGACTAGAGGTTAGGATTAAGGAGTTAGGGTTTAGGGTTAGGGGTTAGGACAACTATTTCTCAACCACTCAAAGGACAACCGCTCATTCCCAACAGCTTTACTTTTGCATACAATTACTTAGCCTCGTCGCCTTTGCGTTCCCCGGCTCCGCTTACCGAGCGTTAAGTTCAGCGTCCTACTATTTACCCACGAGTCCGAGGTTCTCTCGATATGTAATTCTGAATACTAGAGATGAAACGTAACCCGTAGCTGTTTTACTGTTTCATTCATCATCATGAAACCTATTTATAGGCATATATAGAATCACATGAATTTGCCTGTCATTTGGGAACGTAAAGATTGCGTGAATACCCAGGCCATATTTAATTGTGTACCGTTACTAGTAGACTCCTCGAAACAGAGATCCAATAGGTAGCGTATCTTATGAAATTTAGACCAGAATCTTTTGTTTTTTTCGATCGGGAAGAATCGCTTGGGCGGGGTTGTAATATTGATTACTATGCAGTATGATCTCACGATATTTCGGTCATGCCATAAATCCGGCTTTTAAACAAGCCGCCTGCAAAAAGCGCACTTGGCAAATATGGCTTCTTAAGTAGTATGAATTGTTTTCCGTTGATTCCCGACGCCCTTCTAAGTTAGAATTTATTTTATGGAAAAATGTAGAAAAGAATTTCATTCATCTGCTGGAAAATCTTCTCTTCAATTTTTATAACCGAAGAAAGGGTGTTTTTCAGTTTTAAAAAGTTTCTAATAAGGAGATTTGTTAAAACCCTGCAATGTCCTTTCAATCTGCATCTTATCTATCCGTTTATTAACGCCCTTCATGGAATATGCAAAGTAGTCCACATCCATTGCAAAATTTTATGCGTCATATAGGCTATCTTCTCAATGCCGTAGGAGAATGTAGTATTTTACTTACACGAAATTATACAGCTTATGGACTGAAAACCCTAGAAGCAAATGCAACGGCAGATAGGACCCGAAATTATCCAGGCATTGAAGAGCTTTTTTAGAACCCAAATATACTCCTCATTTAAGCATCATATTTGAAAAGTTATTTCCTACCAACTGAGCCCAAGAAAGATTGTTTTTGTGCATGTTGCCTACGAAATATATTTGCATTTATCAGGACATCAAAAATCCACGGGAAACATTCATACTACTTAGATGGTTGTTTTTTACGGGATGCAGTTTTTGCAGGCGGCTGGAAAGAAGTGCATTCAAAAGCCAATATCCAAGCGTGTTTGATATATCTTGCGTTTATGCTGCACCATAACCAGTACTGCAACCGCAACTAAGTAATCCTTCCTAACCGGAAGCACATTTCCGTGTTTCGGTCAACAGTTCATGGGATCAGTCACTGACAGACGGCTACATTTCAATTGCCTGTCTGGCATCATGTGGGGCTCTCAATAATACCACAACCCTTGCGTGTGGACAACCTGTTCTTAACGAGTGCCCCGTATTTACCCAAAATTAATGAGTTTATGTTGTCTAGTCGAGTGTATTCCGCTCCTTCCGGGCATTTTTATATCACTTATCCTGCAATCTGTCGTCCACAGGCAGTCAATCGCCAGTTACTCTCCTGGCTCAAAGCCTGGGACTACAGTGTTTTTGGCATCGAACCCAGGCCCTCCGGGACGACTACTGCATTCTCTGAGGACGTGGGCGATCGGGCACCTCCTCCTCCTCCGCCCCCCTCAGATGCCTCTCGGTTCCGCAAGTCTGCACAGTCTGCCCCAAGCACCGCCAGACAAAATGCAGCTGAGAAAGAGCTAAGCATCAGCATGCTTGACCCCAGAGACGGTCGGCCCTTCTATCGTCTCGTTTTGCTCTCTGGTCCTCCAGGCTTGGGCAAGACCACGCTTGCCCATCTGTTGGCACGCCACGCGGGTTACCAGGTCATCGAAACGAATTCAAGGCAAGTTTTCTGTCAGATCACAGTGGTGCTTACTTCGATCCGTCTGGCAGACTGCTTCGCTCAATGCTGCCTGCTTCTGAGACGGCGTTACTCACCGTAGGTTCGGTAAGGTGGTTTGCATGGTCCAAGCGCGCTTTCAGACCATTCCAATCGGTGGGCCGCGGGAGCTTGCGTGTATGTGATACGATGTGCGATGCAAGCCGTAAAAGCGACAAAACAGGGTTGGGGAGGGAGGGTGACGGCTTCTGTGGTGCCGATTGATAGTCTTCTTTTTACTAATTGGCAGATAGATAATCCTAGGGATGGTTGAATCCACTTTTCATAGTAGATTGGGATCCTTTTTGTGCGATAATCCTTGCTGAACTACTCTGTAGAAAAATGTGGTCCTTCCAGTTCACCGGCAGATATGAAGTTTTGCTTCCTTTCAAGTAAGAGTAAAAGGCACAATTGACCCAGACATCCAAGGCTGCAAATTAGAATCAGTTAGACTACTCAGGAGTGTAAGTAGCGTTCATTTAGTTATGTAACGGAGAGTCAGGCTACAGTAGGTGGGCTAACTCGTGCAATCTCAACCCAAATTCCGAAATGCGTTTTCGTTTTGAAACGATTAATTAAGTAGGGTTGTAAAACTAGTCAGCCTGCAACATGATTCTATAATATTTCACTTACCCCGGGACGTCGGCTTTCGAATGAACATCCTTCCGGCTGCATGCAAAAACTACACCCTGTAAAAATTGGCTACTTAAGTAGCATGAATTTTTCTCATTGATTTTCGATGCCCTTAAAAATCCAATTATAGTTGATGGAAAAAATGCATAAAAAGTATTCACTCTTTTGCTCATTCGGTAGGAGATTACGTTTCCTTCCAATTTTATACTCGAAGGAGGGATATAATTCGGGTTTAAAAAAGTGTTTAATTGTGGGACTTTTAAATACTGTGAAATGGCCGTTCATTAGAAAGCCGGCATCCTGAGGTAACTGAATCATTATAGAATTGTGTAGCAGACTGACTAGTTTTACAACCCTACTTAATTAACCTTTTCGAACCGAAAACGCATTTCGGAATTTTGGTTGGCATTTCATGAGTTAACCCACCTACTGTACGATGACTTCTTCTAAAATGGCACTCTCTTATATGTGGTATTCGAGCCATCCCCCTTGTGTGTGTAATCCTGGCGCATGCGTTTGGGGGGCCATGTCGTGCATGGGGCGCGCGTAGACGGGTCCTCTAGCTCTGTCAGCCATTGCGCCCACTCCCGGCATCAGACATGTGGCCGGCACGGAAAGCGGACTGATGCCTGAGAGTGGACGCAGAAAGTGAGGTCGACGGTCTTAGCACCTATCCAACGGCGTAAACAATCTGACGCGCTTAATGCTATCACAGTGCGCTAAAACCCGTGGCTTGGAAGGTTGCCAACTGATGGGGCAACTCAGACCTCGCAGTCAGCCTAGTCTGTGTTTAGGTAGAGCGGCGGACTGGTCAATTGAGTGTCAGGCCGCAATGGCTCCTTCGTAATGTGGCCTCTTTGGCACTCCCACTTAGTGGGGTCCAAGCCGCCTCCTCTCCCCCCCCCCGCATCTCATGTGTAAAATTCTGGTCATTGCACTTTGTGGACCAGGGGGTGTGGTGACACGCCTAGGCGCGGGTTTTCGCCGCACCAGCCATCTTTGTCCCCTTCCGCTTCCGGTCTTCGTGACTCCGTCTTGACCGAGGTGGGAGGGGACAGAGTACGGTACATGCTGCGCAAGTCTTCCACCACTTTAAACTAACCCACGCGCAAGTCACCGTCCCTGCCTTCACTCTGCTGTGAAGCAAACGGTGGACATCGTCGGCAACGACGGTCGAACTGTCATGTAACCGAACAACTGACTAGTTGGTCTCAAGAAAATAATTTAGAAATTGACGGCCTATTTGTACTCAGTATTAAAAATCTCAATCAAGGACTCCCTTCTAACCGAGATTTTCAAAAGTTAGCTCAGATCTTCGTTTTCGTCTGAAAGGGTTGGGCCAGTGAAGAGCGGCGTCAAGTTGCTCAAGTGCACAGAACAGCAAAATTCAGCGTATTTGGGGGGAAAAATAGCCATAAATGGACAAGGTGGAATTCCTCTTCAGGCCATTCATATAACCACGATCAATCTCGTGTAAATACTACTGAAATGGACGCTTTCTTGTGCCGTTTATTTCCTATATTTTCTCATCCTCGCCTGTTGCTCCCGTCGACTTCCAGTGACGATCGAAGCCCTGCGGCCATGCGAGATCGTCTGGAGACCGTTGCCTCCAGTCAAACCAGCCTGAACCCTGCCACAGCGGTCGCCGTCTCCACTGTCCTAAAGCCGAGCTGTCTCATTCTGGACGAGGTGGATGGTGCGCTGCCGGCGGCCGTTGAGGTGCTCTCTGCTGCCGCCTGCAACGTTGCCGCAGGCGAACGCAGACGTGCGAGCAGGAAACACCGGAATGCCCTTGTCCTGCGTCGACCCGTGATCTGTATCTGCAATGACCTGTAAGTCAGCGCGCCTTATTCTTCTGATTCCCCCCCTCCCGTCTCTATGCTCGACAGGACAGTTTGACGACTGCCAACTACGACATCGGCCGTATGTCCCACGGAGTAGACGGTGGATTAGTTTGTAGTGAGGCAGACTTACGCAGCACGTACTGCTCGATCGGATCTTATTTCGTTGCCGTACCTGCAGTAGACAAGCCCCAGGCTAACCCCTAGCAGGTACGGCTACGAAATAAGATCCTGCTTACTGGCAATAGAAACGAAGAGACGAGTCCCAGGAAGCAGTCTTGAAGAAACAGACACGGTCGCTGGGACAAGAGCTTTATTAGCCTGACATTGCGGATTCCTGCTCGAACCCATCATCAGAGACAAAAGAGCAGAAACGGGTGGTTCATGCATAAAGGGCTGCAGTATTTATAGGGGGCAGTCGCCATGTTACTGCATGCCTATGAATATTCACGGCTCCGCCCGTCATCGGGGATCGTTGCACTTGGTGTGCTGACTCTTTGATGGCCGACATTCGCGTCGTTAGTCGTTGCAATCTCATGACGTGCGTTGGATGTTGTTGTGATGATTGCTCGACTATCTGACGCACTGACCCTGGCGTGGGGGAACAGAGTTCACCTGTGCGCTTCCCGCATGGCTAATTACACCGCCTGGGCGAAGTCTCAGCACTGAGTATGGAAGGGGAAGGTCATTGCACTTGGTACTGAACCGGGGGCCAGTAAACCATGACTCAAGCAGCTCCCGGTTCACGCGGTCGTCACCGCTTGCGAGAATTTCGGTCTTGTCGAATTCGAATGTGTGGCCGGATCTCGTCGAATGAGCCGAAATCTGAGAGCTAGTGTCATTTCTCCGCACCGCTGCAGCGTGTTCGACCATTAGCGTTCGTAGCTGTCATCCGGTTTCTCAGACGTAGTTGCTTTTTCCGCAGCTGCACCAGATCCGATAAACGACTCCAGACGTTTCTAGCCGTGGCAGTGGGTCTTTCGGTGTCATTACCTGACGCCTGATGGTTGCCTCCGGTCTGTGTGCAACTCCAAGCCCTAGTGGTGCGAGAAGGCGGCCGACAGCTTCCGCTCGCCGAATGAGCCGCAACTTGAGAGGTGGCGTCATTTCTTCTCACCGCTGCAGCTTGTTCGGCCATTCGCGTTCGGAGCTGTCTTCCGGTTTCTCCGACGTAGTTGCTTTGTCCGCAGCTGCACCAGATTCGATAAACGACTCCAGACGTTTCTTGCCGTGGCCACGGCCGCCTTCTCGCACCACTTGTTGGAGTTGCACACAGACCGGGGGGAACCATCAAGCGTCAGTTAGTGAAACCGAAAGACTCGTTGCCACGGCAAGAAATTGAACTGACACTTGCACTCCCCCCTATCTCTGTCGGGAGCAAATCTACCATTCTCGAGGTTTCCAATCCTATCAATCTGCATAGTCGCTTTAGAAATTTCAGTGTTTAGGAAACTTGTGGGTAGTTGAAAAGGCGCATACGTAGAGATATTACCAACAAAGACCCTAGAACACTTGAATTACGCGTTCTGGCTTAATTGCCCTCATCAACCGGCATTACGCCCTCCCTCCCCCCCCCCCTCCCAGAGTGGGCTCTAACCCGGTAACTCCAAATCAGAACGTTATCACCCATTCCCGTCTCGGAAGTCTGTACAGAACGAATTTTCTCCCCACAAATAGACCTAGAATAGTTCATCTCGTACTATAGCAGACAACCCGTCGTTGGTGAGATCAACGGTAGTTCCTAAATACGTGCCCATTCGTTCGAACACATTCCCTAAATCACACTTGAGGCTTCGGGGTGTTTTTTCGTGGGTTTTAATACGGTTCTGTCGCCCAACCACCAAACTCGGTGTCAGTTATTAATTGCATCACACTGACTGATGTTTCCTGTCTCTCAGCTATGCCCCGTCACTGCGTCCTCTTCGAGCCCCTGGCGTGCCCTGCTTCATTCTCCGTCTGCCCAGCATTGATCTTAATCGCCTCATCTCCCGCCTGGACTGGATCGCCAGAACGGAGGACATTGTTGTGGGCAAAAATTTTCTCTCCAACCTCGCGGACTCCAGCGGTCGCGACATCCGTGCCTGCCTGAATGCCCTGCAGGTATGCGTGTTAATTCTGCAGCGTTTTTTTTAACACCAAGTCTTCATTTACCCAGGGGGGGTTGTTGGTGTTGATGCTCCCCCGTCTGATCGAACAACGACAAAAATGTCCTTGTTCGGATTTGGCCTGCAGTCTGGAGCCGAGCAATCTGAAGGCAGCAATTGTTGGCGCCTTCAGCCAACGCAGGCGTGTGCTCGAAGGGCTTGATACGCGTACTGTTGTTGTTATTGTTGGTGGACAGAGGATTTGCTCTTCTCGACACCATTAACTGTCGTTATGCCCTCCCCTTCCCCTCCCTCTACAACGCCTGAATCAGAGGCTTCCTGTCTTTTAAAATCATTTACAACTGAATGTTCTCGAGTTTCGGTCCTGCATTTTCAAATAAACATATTCTGTTAAGTGCATGTATTACTGATGACATTTTAGCACCATGTTTATTTAAAGCTTGATATTGCATGTACCGTTTTCAATAGGGTTTTCAAAGGCATTGCCTATTACCCTTAAAATATGCTGACCTCTATAGCCCACCGAATAGGGGTTGCGTCAAACGGTCGCTAGGACGGGCTTCCGCTGCAAATGTGCTGGACCTAAGCAGGGATCAGATCGCCTCGGGGCCAGCGTTTATTGGGCTGTGCCGAGTCCCTTTGAGTCCACAACTACTGGCATACATGCGTGAGGGCCTGGGCCTTTACACCGCCTCCGCTACTGTGTCCATCGCCTGTTGGTTGACAGGCCCGGACAGTCGGCTGGTACATGCGGGGAGGGGGAGGGAGTGAGGAGTGGGGATTCCATACACACGGCGCACCCCAGACCATTCCTCACCAGCAATAAATCTGAGGAGCTTGAATCTATACAGACGCACCACGGATCTTGGCCTCGAAGGTTGCCGACTGAAGTGATACCTCCGTACTTCTCAGTAGTCAGGCTGCAATGGCCACTATGTCACTTTCACGTGGTACTTCGTCAGCCACTGCGCACGCACCCGCCTACAGTCGTCTTGACACTGCCCTGTTATCGGAGTCACACCAACAATTCGACCGTCCACTGCGTATCCCATAAAGTGAGGCGCAGGACGGTGACTTGTACGTGAAGTCGTATATAATGAGGTGGGCTTGCGCCGCGCCTATCGCACTCTCTCCTTCCTCTCCCGCCCGCCCTTCTCTGATGACAAGACAATATCAAGACGTTAAATGTCTTACCATACTGACAGCACAGGCGCTAGCTAAAAGCTCGGGCACGCGTGTTTCGCCGATCTTGTGCAGCTTCATTACACAGCTGCGGGGGGTTAGGCTCATCAGTTGGTCTCCCGCCAACGTTTTTCGTGCACCTTCTGGTTCATAGACCCCAGTCTTCCTGCTGAATTTTTTAAATTTCCGAGAAAATTTGTGCAAGACGACTAGATGTGCACGCGAGTGCGGCGATTGACAAAGCCGAACGGCCCGTCTACGCGTGTCACACCTCATCCGCTCCCCTTTACGTGCGACGGGCTTCTTTGAAGGATTTTGTGGGTGGATTCCCCTTGTCGGCCTTATCATCCCTTTCCCGCACTGCAGTCGACTGTCCGAGCTCTTCAACCAGTAGCTGATAGAATTAAACGCAGTGACTGACGCAGTCGTCATCTAATCCGTATCGCACTCATGTACGGCAGCAGCCTTGAGCTCGCGCGAACTCAGAGAAGCCCGATGAACGCGTGCCGTGAACCAGTCTGATCCCCGCTTTGATCCATCGCATCTGCAGCTCAGCCTGTTTTTGGGCCACGTCAATCCACGTCTCAAGGGGGCTGTGGACCGTTTAAATGATCCACACTGATCCACCATCGTATATACCTGATCGTGACCGAGAGGGCAGCGAGTCCGTGGCTCAGTGGTTGGTGCAGTGAACTTCTAACTGACAGGTCGCGGGATCGAGTCGCAGGGGTTGCACACCTCGGGGCCTGGCATAACTGTCTGACGGTGGTTAATAAGACGTAAATGACCATTCCAGTCTCTCTCTTTTCTTTTTCGGTTATGCTATCCGGTCTCTACTGTATTCGCCGGCTCGGTCCAATGATCGCCTTTCATCAGGAGCCCTACCTGGAGACGGAAGGGCAATTTGTCGTTAAGTTTGTGTGCCCTCCAATCTTGTGAGATAGAAAAAGTAATCCTTGTCTTTCTAACAGGCGTTAAACCTGTTGGCTCCGGTAGAGTCAAAGAAAGCCTCGAGTGCGTTACTTTTATTCTGTTTCCCTACTCTTCTTTCTTCATAGTCAGCCCTTCTTTTTCATGAGACTAGCTGATACACTTTCCTCCTCAAGCTCTGATCGACGGACTCAAAGCTGAGCATTTTAAAGCAGATCGCTCCTCCTGGCCTCCCCTCCCGTAAAATGCAGTTTCGCTAGCCTAACTTTCGGTCCTGCCTCTGGCGGAAGTTGACTTTACCCGTTTTCTTCCAGTTTCTAAAGGCCGCTCAAAGTCAAGGCAAGGACTTCTCCACCCTTGATCTTCCCGGCTTTCTGGGCCTTCATGGCAGCCTGAAAGACGCCCAGCACAATCTCTTCTCCGCGTGGCAAGCCATCTTCACTATCCCACCGCCGCATGTTCTATCGCGTCAGCTTGCTCAAATGGCCAGCCGACGTCAGGCCGCTGGCAGTCGCACCACCATGGACGCGAATTCTGCGAGTGACAGCAGTCTTCAGGCCAGGTCTCCTTTTTTGCTGACTTCTGTTTAGTTCGAATTGCCTCCAGGACACTTTCTGAATACCCGATCATCGTGCTGGGCCGTTTCAATCCGACTGTTTGCGGTCTTTAACTTTTATGTGTTAAAGTGCTACATTTCAAAAAAAGTCTCATTTCAAGTGTGCCGCAAGTAAATTCTAGACAAGCGTGCATTTTGATTATAACACCGACCTGCTCTTCGTAGGGCGCGCCTTATAATTACTTAGAAATACCTGAGCAATTTGAGGGGCTCACCGGATCAGTGGAATTAAGTGGCTGACGTTTCGGAGGGCGTGGCCGGCTCTTCATTATCAAGGCGTTTTGTGCAAAAAATCAGTCAGAACTTTGAATAAACGGCCTAATTAGCTGTCTACGAGTCGATCGATTTTTTTCTTTCGTTGCACTGAAAAGTAGATTGTTATTCAGGTCTAGTCGGTCTCTGCCTGAAGCGCGATGGACTGGAAACGGCATATCATCCAGGACTGGCCATTTCAGGCTCCCTTACCTTTGTGGGTAATGCTTCTGGCATTGCGATCGGGCTTTTGTGACTGGACTTCTCCTACGTCGTTAACAGAGGATGTCTTAAGAGCGTTTTAGTTTTACACCTCTTCCTCTTGACTTTGTACTTTCTGCCTGTCTAACTTCCTGTTTCTCACCTTTCTAGGGTGAAGCAAACGCTGGATGTGTGTCAGTCAGCTGGGGAATCTCAGACGCTTCATCTGGGAATTTTTGAAAACTATCTGAGCAGGCGAATGAAGGACGCAAGCCTTCAGTCGGTACGTCTCCAGGACTGCGATCCGCCATCTCTCTCTGTGTGTGTGTGCGTGTGTATGCGTGCACGCTTTTATAATCAGAAAAGTCGGACGAGCGAGGCCCTGAGTGCGAAGTGTGGTCTAGTCGGCAGTTGTGTGGTTGCACGCGCAGATGAAGACCGTATGCCTGCCAAACCAAAGTCGTCCTACTCCTACTTCTCATCCCACAACTGTCGAATTCCTGCAGAGAGAGAGGGCGACAGCAATCCTGTAGGCGGCCCGGGCTAATTCGGACCGTTGCTCACTGAATCGAAGTTGTGACCCGTAATAGTACCCGTCAGCCATCCGAGCTGCCTCAGTAGCCGGATTCAGGGAGGCACTGCCTTCCGCCTCACTGACGAAGGGACTGCAAAAGGCGCCCCAAACAAATACAGTTGATTGCGCTGTCTGCTGACCAACTGTGACTCCTTGACGCTGAGCATATTGTCAAAACACTAAAAACTGCAGCAGCAACCTCCGCCCATGTCCGCATTCTCTTAATATTCCTTCCGGAGTGATGAATATCCACTTCCGTTTATATAACCCAAAAGCCAACTAACCTCGGAGAGGAGAACCGTTCTCGTCAGAGGAAAGCTGGCTTATTTCAAAGTGTACATCGCTGCACTCAACGACACTCGTTCATCAGAGTAGAAACAGCTGGAGGACATCGGTGCATGCTACGCCCTCTTCTAGAGCCTTTGCTAGAAGAAGGAGCGATGTGTCGCCAGAGTCGCCTTTGCCGTCAGGGACGACTTAACTCTAGTTAAATCAACAGCCACCTCATCCCAGTGAAGCCCCAACCCAGCTTTATTAATATTGCTGGCAAAGTCATGGCTCCCGACAACAACTCCAACTCCCAAATCGACAACGACCTCTTAGGTGACCTAGGCTAATTCGAGTTGTTTTCCTACCAAACCCAAGTTGTGACCCCCTAGGAGAACTCTGCAGCCGCCTGGGATGTCTCACCAACTCTGTTCAGGGGAGTATCGCCTTTCCCCTCACAACTGCAAAAGCCGGAAAAAGGTTCTTCGAATAAACCCCGTTAGTCACGTCATCTGCCATCTGACCTTGGCTCATGGCACCAAATACACGATCGAAACACCAGATGAACTTACACACCCCATGCCGTCCTTCCTACCATTGTCGTTCAGGTCAGAAGAACTAGTTTGTCTCACTGTGGATGTCGCCGCACTCACAGATGCCCGTTTCTCGCAACAGAGACAGTTGAATAAGCTCGATTCTGGTTATGCCCTCTTCTAGAACCGCTGTCGGAGGAAGGAGCATTGTGATGCTGGAGATACCTTTGTTAGCAGAAGGGACCTTGCTAAGTGACTGCTTTCTTTCCTTGTGGAATCAACTTTCACTCTATTTCAATCTGGCTCCTACGCCGAAATAATTTCATCACCATCATCTGCGCCTACGTTCCCTAGAGTAGCAGGCATTATAGGGCACTGCGAACTACGTGTCGTCCTTCCGGCCATTTCCAGCACAGTGTCCTCGCTCACCCCGGAAACCTGGATTGTTCGTTTTTTGGGATAATCAAATGCCAGACCGGCGGGAGAGGAGGACAGCTCTGGTCGCATTAGAACTGATTCCGTTCAAGGTAGACATCACCACATCCGACGAGGCACGCTTCTAGGATCATGGATAAGTGAACGAAGTCGGCTTAGAGCACAACTCTTTGAACGACCATCAAAGGGAAGGACGATGTGATGCTGGAGTAGTCTTTGCCATCAGGACCAAATTCCTCAGAAAGCTGCCTTCTTTCACTCCCATGGCAGCAACAACTGCCTCATTTACATTAAATTCCCACTCCGCGTTCAGAAGTTCATCACAATTATCGCCCCTGCCACATCCTTAAAATGGTAGAGGACAACGAAGCGAGGGAGAAACCCCACAGTAATCTGCACTTGCTCCTCGTGTCTCATGCCGAAGACGAACAAACCGGTCTGGCCTCAGTGACCTCAGCGCCTGAGTAGACAGATACACAATCTGAGGAGGAGTGTTTTGTGTTTACGGACCAGGTCACTGAGCTGCAAGGCGACTTGTTTTACCGAGGACCCGCGCGGACCACAATCCCCTCGCCACCGGCGCTCTCCATCGGCTTCCCAGTGGCAAGCAACCAACATGCCACTGCCGTACCGTAGGCTTCTCAAGAGACGTGACCACCGTGAAAAAAATGTGCACCTAGGTACCGACTAACGCCTTGCCATCTCGCAGACGACGTCGCGAGAAACTGAGACCAGTGACGCCGACCAAGGCAGCGCTGAACACGTTTAGGTGGGGAATCTCCGGCAAAGTATATTACTTTGACCTGGACTACCGCTAAACTCCGTGGTGCGTGAAATCGCTGAGCAAATTTGGCAGAGACTGTGGGATACCATTTCACGTCATCGGCGCTGCACGCCAAAGACGCCAGGACCAGTTCGACGACAGCGACGTAGGAGTACAAACAATGACCTCTAAGAAAAACCAACGTCACGACCCTGAAAGCCAGAAAAAGTCACATTTGTCCAACACCGTCGTCAGCTGCAACAAGTGCTGTCGAGGCGGATAAGATACAAGGTTGCGCAGATCGCATCGAAATGAAGATATTCTCTGCGGCTGTCAAGACAGCCCATCGCTACTCATTTAAAATGACACACAAAAATCGCAGATCTTGTAGCTCTAAGTCAAGTACTTTAGTTGCGGTGTCAAACAGCAGTCTGCAATCTCTACGGAAGCGGTCAACAGGCCTCCTCAGCTAATACTAGGTCCCTTGACCTGTTGGTTAGAAGTTCATCTCCCTTAACCACTGTACCAGGGGCTCGTTGTCCTGTCAACTTCTATAATTTATCAAAAACTGCCTCTCTCTGCCCGCTGCTGCAGGCACGAATATATATACTGCTCAAATCATCCTTATTCTCCCGCTCTAACTACTTCTGTCAGCCATATCCCTATCGTTATCTTCGGCATCTTGTTTGCCCATGCCGGGCTCACCAGTTTTTTCCTAATGTTCTCGACCATATTTCATATCTCAGGCACGAAAGGCTGCTGACTGGTTAGTCTACAGTGATCTCCTGTGGAACCGAATTCAAACCACGCAGGACTTCTCGCTTTCTCGGTATCCCGGGGTTCTTCCCGCCTGGTTCCACCTTTCCTTTGCCTCCACAGCCGAGAGTGGGAAGAACTGGGGGGCCGCTTCTGGTGGCGATCGTGGCTTCAGCACAATTCGTTGGCCCACCACCTACACGGATAACCAGTCCTCTGCCAATCGTTCTGAGGCTGTCATCGACAGTATTTTGGAAAATCAGTGGCGCGCTGCCGCCTCCGCCAGTCTCATCGACTCTGATGGCGTCGGCGTTCCTACTAGCCTTAGGTTAGTTTATAACTTCTACTTTACTAATTTCAGTAGGCGTATAATTGCAATTTCAGTTCTCAAGGGTTTTTCTCAGTAGACGCCCCGCGACAAAAAGGGCTCCCTTCTTTCTGAGAGCACTAATTTCCTGATAATATACTTTAGATGATGCCTCCACAAACTCTGTCTGTGAAGTTTTCATTTCCTGTTTGCGTTAAATACAGTCGTTTTTTTCTGTTCTCAACTACTTCAGGTGTCTCACTCGCCAGCGCTTCCTTCTCGATGCGTCAAGTTACGTGAACATGCTTTTTTCGGCAATGTGTTCACGCCTTCGCCCCGTCAATATTCAACTCTACACGGAACAGGAGAAGAAACAGCTAATGCACTTAGTTAGCTTCGTGGTCAACATGGGCTTGGATCTGGTCCCCATGCAGGCTGATGATGACAGCGAGGAGCAGACCTATAGACTGGAACCGTAAGTCCCGCTTCTTCACTGTTGCTGTCACTAATGAAGTATTTTTGGCAACTTGAAGACCGTACTTTTTTCCGTTTCACTCATCACTCAGTAGTTCTCTTCACCCGTTTATACGGCCGCCTTGCCTAGCTTTCGAGATTCCACCGTCGCAGCCGACGACTCTACCTCGTGTCCCAATGACTTGCGTGGGAATCATTTTATAGCGATTGCAGGCCTGTGCAGCATCTACTGTACATCTACAGTGGCCGACAGAACTAAACTGCCCGTCTAGGCGTGTCACAAACACGTTCTAGTCTCCGCTGTATGTAACAGGCCACAATGAAAGTGACTCAGACCTCACGAACTCAGTCCAAATGACACTGAGATCACAGATCGTTGCCAATAGAAGCGAAGAGCCGAGCCCCAGGAAGTAGTCTTGAAGAAGGAGACACGATCGCCGGGACAAGAGTTTTATTAACCTGACGTTTCGGATTCCTGCTCGAGCCCATCATCAGCCCCTTGTGCAACAACCACCCGTTTTTGCTCTTTTGTCTCTGATGATGGATTCGAGTAGGAATCCGAAACGTCAGGCTAATAAAGCTCTTGTTCCGGCGATCGTGTCTCCTTCTTCAAGACTACTTCCTGGGACTCGGCTCTTCGCTTCTATTGGCAATGTATTTGGGCGCGATGCGCTCCGATCGGCCAGGCGATGGGAAACCTTCGCCCTTCGGGAGGCCTCTACGTATTCGCAGATCCGGTTTCTGCACAGGTGTCTCGAAAATAATGTGTTACCGAAATGTGTTTCATACAAGCCACCGGTTAACACGGATTTGTCGAGACGAGCAGTTTTTCAGCACGGCAGAAGGATGATCCGAGTGCTCCTCCAAGATTGCCACGCGAGACTTCGTAAGTACCGTCAAATGATTGACTAAGAAAAGACCAGATGCTGCGAGTTCATGGGTGAAATCGGTACGAATCTGCTCCGGCGGAGGATAGCTGCACAAGCCCGCGAACAGAGCACGATACGCGACGCAGCACTGGAGAACAAATTTCGAAAGCTGCCCAATCCAACGTCGCCCAGAAACGACAAACGGGTGCACAACCTGTCATCAAAGGAGCTGACGAAGGATCAGATGCAGGTTTTACGGCACGAAGCTTCATTTAACACGGCTGACGCCAAACCTGTTAACATGATTGCAGCAGTGGAATCAATCCTTTGTCAGACGGAGGCAACGGAGGAGACTAAGAACCTCATCCGACACCAAGTGTCGTCTCTCCTGATGGCCCACAGGCCGCGGGAAGTGCTTTCCAAGGTCGAACGTGATGCGCTGAGAGAACTCAAGGCCGACAAAGACCTGGTTATCGTGCCAGCGGACAAAGGACGCGCCACAGTTGTACTGGACAGGACAGACTACCTTCAAAAAGCCAAAAGGTTTACTGGAGGACCGACAGTTCTATGTCCCATGTGCAACGAACCCTTTAAAGGCGCTGACACGCGAAATTAATGCTACGTTGTTGGCCTTGGAGAACTCAGGTGCAATAACACCGACCGACAGACGCATGGCGAGACCCCAAGATACGGCTTTGGCCCGATTCTATGGCCTCCCTAAGGTGCACAAAGACGGCGCTCCTCTCCGACCCATCGTGTCGCTCAAAGGGACTCCAGCGTACGGACTGGCTAAGTGGCTGTTCCGGCGTCTCAAGTTCCTGACCGCTGAGTCAGACACCACGGTGTCTTCGTCAGCACAATTCCTGGAGAAACTCAAAGGGGTAAGCATCCATCCAAATGAGGTCATGGTATCTTTTGATGTTACATCCCTTTTTACTTCTATTCCCCAGGACCTGGCGATCGAGACAATTGAACTGCTACTACAAAGCAAATACGATGAAACGGAGAACCGTCTTGGACACGCCCAAATCCTTCAGCTCCTGAAGCTCTGTCTCACGACGTACTTCACGTTCGACGGGACAATCTACGAACAGGTGAAGGGCACACTAGTGGGTTCGCCGATTTCGGGATTCATCGCCGAGGCGGTCCTGCAACGGTTAGAGTCGCTGGTCTTCCAACACCACAGACCGAAATTCTGGGCTCGGTATGTGGATGATACCTTCGTCGTCATCGAACGGGATCAGGTGTTGACATTCCAAGAACATCTCAACGCCGTCTTCCCGGACATTCAATTTACTATGGAGGAGGAAAAGAACAACCAGCTGGCCTTCCTGGATGTCCTCGTATGCTGCAAGGATTGTGGTGGACTAAAGACCAAAGTGTTCAGGAAAGCGACAAATACGATGCAAGTACTGAACTTCAACAGTAACCACCCAATCAGCCACAAACGCAGTTGTGTAAGGACGCTCTATCGGCGTGTCGAAACGCACTGCAGTGAGCCGGAAGACAAAATTGCCGAACTACAATACCTCCGACGGGTCTTCAAAGCCAATGGCTACCCGCGCAACTTCGTCGACCGGTGCATACGCAAAAGGGACGAAAGGCCTAACCGCACGGACACCAAGTCTTGGCGGGCACTTCCGTATGTCAAGAACGTTTCGGAAGCTGTCGGCCGCCTTCTCGCACCACTTGGGGTTGGAGTGGCACACAGACCGGAGACGACCATCAGGCGTCTGATCATGAAACCGAAAGACCCACTGCCACGGCTAGAAACGTCTGGAGTCGTTTATCGGATCTGGTGCAGTTGCGGACAAAGCAACTACGTCGGACAAACCGGAAGACAGCTCCGAACGAGAATGGCCGAACACGCGGCAGCGGTGCGCAAAAATGACACCAGCTCTCAAGTTGCGGCTCATTCGTCGAGATCCGGCCACACATGCAAATTCGACGAGATCGCAAATCTCGCAAGAGGTGACAACCGAGTGAGCCGGGAGCTACTGAAATCATGGTTTACTGGCCCCCAGTCCGTCAACAAGTGCAACGATCTTCCCATTCCATACTCCGTACTGAAACTTCGCCTAGGCGGGGTAACAAGCCATGCGGGGAGTGCAGAGGTGAACATTCTTCCCAACACCGGGGTCGATGCGTCAGATGGTCGAGCAATCATCACGCCAACATCCAACGCACGTTATGAACTTGCAGCAATTATCGACTCGAATGTCGGCCATCAAACAATGATCACCAAGTGCGACGATCCCGGATGAAGGGTGGAGCCGTGAACGTTCATAGGTATGCGGTAGCATGGCTACTGCATCCTATAAATACCGCAGCCCCTTGTGCAACAACCACCCGTTTTTGCTCTTTTGTCTCTGATGATGGATTCGAGTAGGAATCCGAAACGTCAGGCTAATAAAGCTCTTGTCCCGGCGATCGTGTCTCCTTCTTCAAGATCACAGATCGTGTAGCTCTACGTCGAGTGCTTTAGTTGCGTTGTCAAACGCCGGTCTGCAATCTGTAGGGAAGCCGTTAACAGACAGCCTCAAGTGAGACTAGGTTGCGTGACCTGTTGGTTAGAAGTCCGACGCCCTAACCACTGTACTAAGGGCTCGTTGTCCTGCCAACTTTTAAATTTTATCAAAAACTGACTCTCTGCCCTCTCGTACAGGCACGAATAGATATACAGCTCAAATCATCCTTCTCATGTGACTGAATAATCCAGATCGCAGAAAACAGAACAGCAGTAACGGAACATGTAAGACTTTAAACCAACAGAACCCAGTTCCACAACAGAGGTCTTCCTGGCCTGAGGTTGAGTGCATTCTCTGTCATCCCTCCTCGCTGCTATTTTGACTTGGCCGAATTCGGCCTGGTAATTGGTTGTCTGTTCGTTACCTTTGCCACCCATACGGAGCTTGTTTGCTTCGGGCAGCCAGTAGGTCGGTGTGCGCCCATTCTTGATTGAATAAATACCCGATCTGCAGCGACGGAAAATGACTGGTGTCCAGGCGCTGAAGAACATCGGTTCGATGAAGTGCTTATGACCCATCTGGTAGACCCCAGTGCTCTACCAACACCGCCGGTTCTTCGGTGTTGCTGTCACTAGTGAAGTATTTTTGACAACTTGAAGACCACCCTTTTTTTCCGTTTCACTCATCACTCAGTAGTTCTCTTCACCCAGCCGCCTTGCCACAACCACCTAGCTTTCGAAGTTCCACCATCACAGACGGCAACCCTATCACCAGTGCCCCAGTGACTTGCGCGGGAACATTTTTATAGCACATTGCAGACTTGCGTAACATCTACTGCATTTCCCTTCCCTTACCTACCTTGATGACAAGATGTCAGGACAAGCGAAGGTGGGCACAGGCGTAGTGGCCGACAAAGCTAAGCTGTCCGTCTAGGCGTGCTACACACTTGACCTGGGTCACAATAAGGATGACTCGAACCCCGCAGACTCTGACAAGTCAGTCGTCTCGATGGTCGTATTGCAAATGAGACCGTAAAAAAACACCACCGGTCTCCACAAAGAACGTTTTATGTGTCCGTCCACGATTATCATCTGTAACATACTTTAGGAATTGGATAACTTTTATAAGTGAAGAAGAAGAAGACAGGTCGAGCACTGGAACACTTTCTTTTATTGTCCTGAGTTTTCCGACTCGTGCAGGAGTCCATCGTCGGAGGTAGTGGTAGCAACAGAACAAGTGACAGTTACAGGGCATATAGGCCAATCATCGACCGACGGCGCAAAACTGCAGGTGACGGCGCAGCGCTCTGTACGCCGGCGACAGATCAATAAATCGATTGACTGAGTTCTCGTCCGAGACCCAGGTTTCAATAAATTCTCGGCTTGTTTTGTTTTCCGCGCGGACGACTTTTTGGTGGCTGCGAAGTTAGACTCGTGACACATTTCGTAGGTGTTGGCGGCCACTTGTAATAATGCGTCGCCTCGTCGTACAACCAGCTTCTGTTCGTGTATGCGCGATCTTAGCATGCGTCCAGTTTGGTCTGTGTAGTTACAAGGACAGTTTTGACACGGGATGTGATACACTACTTCAGATTGCTTTTCAAGCCTTAACCGGTCTTTACTTTTCATGACCCTATTACGCATGGCGGCTTTGGGACTGTGGGCAATTCCAACACCTAGCTCCGTGACCGCGTAGGCAGCGACTTATGAATGCCCTCGAATAGCCATTATGTTGAAGTCATTAATTATGCGCCTACTGTGACCTACAAGTTACGGTAGGTGGGCTAACTCATGAAATGTCAACCGAAATTCCAAAATGCGTTTTCGTTTCGAAAAGATTAATTTAGTAGGGTTGTAAAGCTAGTCCGCCTGCAACATAATTCTGTAATGCTTCAGTTACCTCACGATGCCAGCTTTCGAATGAACTTTCCTCCGGCTGCATACAAAAACCACACTCGTTAAGAAATGACTACTTAAGTAACATGAATTTTTCTCATTGATTTTCGATGCCCTTAAAAGTCCAATTATATTTCATGAAAAACATCCATAAAATATTCATTATTTCGCTCATTTAGTAGAGAATTACGTCTTCTTCCAATCTTATATTCGAGGGAAGGGTATAATTCGGTTTTCAAAAACTTTTCCAATTCCCGAATAATTTTGAATCCGCTCTACCGTTACCCTTAGATTCAGGGTTTTGAATCTACAAGCCGTATATTTTCCGCGTACGGAAAACCATACATTACTCTACAGTAATAGATGGGAACCGTAAGTGGTTCATAGAATTTTGGCAGTAGATTTGATCCATATTGTTAACTTTACAAGCCACATTTGTTAATGCGGAGACATGACGATTTATGAACGGCCACTTCACGGTTTTTAAAAGTCCCACAATTGGAAACTTTTTAAACCGAATTGTACCCTTCCTTCGAGTGTAAGACTGGAAGAAGACTTAATTGTCTACCGAATGAGCAAAAGGATGAATATTTTTATGCATGTTTTTCATGAAATGTAATTGGACTTTAAGGGGCATCTAAAATCAATGAGAAAATTCACGTTATTTAAGTAGTCATTTTTTACAGAGTGTGGAATATCATTGAACTTTTAGGGGCATCGAAAATCAATGAGAAATACTCATGCTACTTAAGTAACCATTTTACAGAGTATAGTTTTTGCATGCAACCGGAAGGAAGTTCGCTGGAAAGTCGGCATCCGGAGGTAAATGAAATGTTATAGAAGTATGTTACAGGCTAATCAGTTGTACAACCTTACTTAATTAATCTTATCGAAACGAAGACGCATTTCGGAATTTCGGTTGACATTTCATGAGTTAGCCCACATACTGTACTTGTCCTATCGAAAAAGGCGCTTCTCCCTCACGCAGCTATTTATTCTTTCCGGGTGACGACTCATTTTGTGGTTGGGAGCGACTTGACAAGCGTGCCCTCATCGGTCAGTCAGACCCATCCCCAGGCCAGGAACACTTCTACTGTGCGCCTGATTCCTGTTGATTTCAAGTCTTGCGTGTTAGTGTTGTTCTGTTTTCTGTTGGTCTGCGTTATTCAAGGTCACAGTGGAAGGATTTATCCATCTGACCTGATTACAAGGCGGAATAGGGACATTTCGTCTCCCTTCTCGGAACAGGTCGTCACGCAGCGGCAAGCAATCAGTAATTGAGCACTTTGCCCCCAAAATAATATGAATGACTCCGGCCACACATTTAAATTCGACGAGGCCGAAATTCTCGCAACAGGTGACAACCGCGTGAGCCGGGAGCTACTTGAATCATGGTTTACAGGCCCCCAGTCCATTAACAAGTGCAATGAACTTCCCCTCCGTACTCAGTGCTGAGACTTCGCCTATGCGGAGTAATTGGTCACGCGGGGAGCGCACAGGTGAACACTGTTCCCAACGCCAGGGTCGGTGGGTCAGATGGTTGAGCAATCATCACACCAACTTCTAACGCACGTGATGAAATTGCAGCAATTAACGACGCGAATGTCGGCCATCAAACAATTAGCACACCAAGTGCGATGATCCCGGATGAAGGCGGGAGACGTGAATGTTCATTGGTATGCAGTAGCATGGCGACTGCATCCTATAAATACTGCAGCCCCTTGTGCATGAAGCACCCTTATCTGCTTTTGTCTCTGATGCTGGCTTCGAGCAGGAATCCGAAACGTCAGGCTAGTAAAGCTCTTGTCCCAGCGATCCTGTCTCCTTCTTCAAGACTACTTCCTGGGACTCGTCTCTTCGCTTCGATTGGCAATGACTCCAGTGCCCATTTCTGACATCTGTCTTCGGCGGCCAATCATGCCCCAACCTTAGACCCTCGAATACCTGACGTTTGTCCCCTCATGCACTTGGTTCAAGGTTAGCGGTTTTATCCCTGGACTTTGAGCCGCGCCATGTCGACCGCGACCGGAGTACCAAGTGCTACTCTTCCGTTATGCCTGACGATCTGTCCTTGCTTATGGGAGGCAGACAGCACTTGTTTGGTAGTTCCCACTTCCTTGTGCGCTGAATAACATCAGAGTATTATGACATTTAAACCGCCCAGGTGAAATCTGAGTGATCTGCCCTACTTTTCTTGGCTTTCAGACCCCTGGACTCAGTCGCCCGGTTTACGTCCTCCATGCGACTGGACAAAGACGCCTCCTACGCGACCAAACAAATGTTGGCCCGGGAACTCGTACTGGAACGTATGAGACGGGCTGAGGCGATGTTTTCCTCACAACAACCTCCTAGGCGGGAATCCTCGGGTGAGGCGGAAACCAGCGCGCCAGCTGTCACTACTACTCCCCGAGGTCCGCTGCCGGACTCCTTTATGAGCACCCGTATGGGTCCAACTGCCAAGCTTATGGATGAACCCGCCAAACAGAAGGTAGTAATTTTGGACGAATTTTTCTATAGTCAGAATGTTGTTACCGACAAAGATCAGGGAGACTGGAGTGGCCATTTCTGGCATATTAGCCGTCGTCAGCAGCCAGTCATACCCAGTTCCGAAATGTGGAACACCTGGGGCACGAACTCTCGACCTGTTAGTTGGAACTCCAACTCCGCTAACCACTGGGCCACGGGCTCGTTGTGCTGTCGGTTTCGATCCGGAATACACAATGACAGAGGGGGGACGCTCACCGATCGTTCTTACGGAACTCACTCGTTCCGTTGTGCCTTACGGGCTCTCTCCCTCGAGCCCAGCCAGCGGCCGCACAGTGGCGCATGATATAGGCAGTTTGTTATTACCGACAAAGACAAGGGAGACTGGAATGGCCATTTCTGGCTTATTAGTCGTCGTCAGCCAGTCATACCCAGTCCCGAGGTGTGGAATACCTGGGGCTCGAACTCGCGATCTGTTAGTTAGAAGTCCAACTCCGCTAACCACTGAGCCACGGGCCCGTTATCCTGTCGGTTTCGATCGGGGATATACAATGGTAGAGGTGCCAGAAATGGCCATTCCATTCTCCTATGTCTTTGTCGGTAATAACATTCTGCCTATATCATGCACCGCTGTGCGGCTGCTGGTTGGGCTCGAGAGAGAGCTCGTTAGGCACAACGGAACGAGTGATTTCCGTAAGAACGATCGGTGAGCGCCCCTCTATTATTGAATTTTTTTATTTTAGGTGACAATTAAATATAGATTTTTTTACTTCTTTATGCGCGCCCAGACTTCTTGAAAAAAATGTCCATGAAAGTCCGGGAGTGTGATGCAACGCACGTGTAAGTAATGATCGTGAGAATGAAAGGGGGCTGATGAGATGAGAACGGCAGGCGCATAAAAAGACGCTTCCTAGGACAGGAAGGTTTCAACCTTTTGACGCCTTCGTCTTTATAGCTGCGTTTAAAAATGCCTGATAATGAACCACGACCAGAAACTCGGTAGGAATGAGGGGGGAAGTTGTACTGCATGCAGTTTCGCGGTTGATGCTGTCATCTCCAACGGTGGATAGTGCGCAGATTCTGTACTTTGAAAACTTTTATCAGTAGTCCGAACGCTCCGGACAGCGGACTCTTGTTGCGTGTTTAACACAAAAGGTTGAAAACTAACTGCATGGAATAGGGTTCAGTCCCATCCGGACGTTGTCGCAGTCAACTGTATCTTGTAGTTGTTATCGCCGAAAATCAGCTCACTTCGAACAACCTCAATCTGCACACGGGAAAGCGATGTGCTATCCACCACACCCTGGCCGCACGTTTTCGATCCATACTCGTGCTTTCTGTACTTTTACTGCGGTAAATTGTACACCTGCACTGCTTGAAAATGTTTTTTTTCTCTTCTCTCTTAGGTGGCGAAGGACTTCTTTGGCAGACCGATTATCAATAAAGTCCTATCCCCATCCTCTAAAGGTAACTGTGTGGAAACTGGTTCTTTTAACTTCTTGCCCTCACCCCTTTTTTGCCAGCGCATCTTGTTAAGGGTCTCCTTGGAAAAGAAATAGAGGCAGGCATTTAGCGCAAGACCCTTAGACCGTCGTTACCGACGATGTCCACCGTGTACTCCACTGAAAGGTGAAGCAGACACGGTCACTTGCGCATGAATTAGTTTATAATGGTAGCAGACTTGCGCTGTATCTACCGCACTCTCTCCTCCTTACTTCCCACCTGGACCAGGTGCCAAGACAGAGCCAAGAAGATTGGAGACGGGCAAGGGCGCAGGCGGATGACGCGGTCGAACCCGCACCTTGGCGTTCCGCCCCACGCCTCCGGTCCACATAGCAAATGGCCAGGTTTTCGCCAACAACACCCAAAAGGGGTCAGAAGGATGAGGATGATGACTGAGCAGCCGTGCCCACCACCTGCATACCCAGCGGGAGCGCAAGCGCATCTACCGGCAGGGGGAACCAGGTGTCAGGGAACTGCCAGCGCATACCAGGCCGCGAGGGCCATGGTTTGCTGATACTGGCGTAGCACACGCTTACAGACCTTTTGACCGACCTAAGACCTCTTAGGAAGGTGTTTGTTTCGGATATTATCGATCTGGAGGATGGATTCAGAATGGCGATAGTATTCCTCCGAATGGCTGATTTCGCTGTCCAACCAGTCTGTGCACACAAGATGAAGGTCATTGAACTTGCTGATGGCCCGCAACTGTATCAGCCACCGTAAAGGATTCCAGACGCTGCCTGCCTGGCAGTGGGTTTTCTGAATTCACCACTTGGCGTCTGATAATTTTCCCTTGTCTGTGTGTCACTTCAACCCCGATCGGAGTGAGGAGGCGGCTGACGGCCTCCGAGGTGTTCTTGACGTGCGGGAGCGACAGTCAAAATTTTGGTCCAACACCGTTTCGTCTCGCTTCTCCACCTTGCATGCACCAGCTGACAAAATTGCGCTGATAACCATGCCCTCTGAGTAGCCCTCGAAGGTTCACTTCAGTACGTCTCAACACGCAGGCTGAACTGTCATTGTGGCTGATTGGGGGGTTCTGGTGGTTGCTGTATCGTTGTGCGAGTGTTTGATACCTCTGCTTTGCGGGGCGACAACAGAATGTAGAGTCAAGACCTAAGGCGAATGGAAACGCGGCCACGCAGGGAGCATCAGACCAAGCCGGCTGTGTAATGCACGCCTGAGCTCAGGTGGCCAATGGGCGTGTAATGTACGACATCGAGTAAACCTGATGCTTTTGCTCACGCATGCGGCCCCATCAATGACTGGCTGAGCACTCGTGATTCTTCCACCGGGGAGAGGGGTTATCACACAAGAAACATCCGATCCACGCCCACCAAGCTGGAGCTCAGGATGTTCTAGAACCGTTAGGAGACGGAGAAATAAGGCGTGTTCTAGCGCTTTCGACATTATATTACTTGGGCTGACAGAATAAAAGGGTTGCTCCTGGAACCTGAGCTTCTCTCCCTCATCCACCCGTCTAAGATGTAACAACGGCCAGTTATTGGTGCCTTCAAGCCAGTATCATCAGCATTCGAGCTATGTCCTATGCGGGGGCGGATCGTGTGTGGCACACATAGACGGGCTATTGATCTCTGTCAACCACATGCACCCAATCCCAACATCAGACGACCAACCGACTCGGAGGGCTGACTGTTACATGGAATAGGGAAGAGAGAGAGAGAGAGAGAGAGAGAGAGAGAGAGAGGGAGAGAGAGAGAGAGAGAGAGGCCAACTCAATGCATTTGCCACTGTGAACAGTCTAACGGGCTTTGAAAATATTACGATGCGCTAGGAGCCGCGACTTTTGAGGCTGCTGACTGACGGGATAACTCGTACCCCCCCCCCTCAGGCCGCAATGAATTCTCCTGAATGTGGCGTCTACGGTACTCCCACTCAGATGAGACCCTAGCCAACCACAGTTAAGACCTGGTCCCTCGTGCGCAGGCACGCGTAGACGGACTATTCAGCCATGTCACCCACTGTGTCCGGTCTCGACTCCCGTCATTTTGACTCTGTTTTGCCACCGGGCCCGGGGGAGTGAGGAAGGATGCTGCGAAAGTCACCGTTCCTGCGTCCGGCATGTCTTGGGACACATCGTTTGCGATGGTCCAACCGTCATTCGAGGCATGCCCCGTCCACACAGAAGCCATCTGTTACACCGCCTCCGCCGACTTTTTTCGGCTTCTTTGCTCGTTTCCATGACGAATGACCAGAGAGCCTGTCGACCGACTAACTGCGCCCTCCTTATTCACCAACCTGTCGGCCAAACCCGACTCTGTCTCACGAGGCGACTGAAGCCATGACGAAAGTGGTGCACCTTCAATCCATCTCGGTGGTGTGTTTAGGCATCTGCTGTAGTAGAGAGCGCTCCTTCCTGCCGCTCTTAGCCTGTAAAGTAGCGCCGACTGAAGCGCAGGTAGTGAGTAGTAACTGTGCTTTACACCAGGGGTGGGTCCGGCCGGCCATTCGATTGACGGAACATTTGATTCACGTGATTTCGCAGATGCAGTTGGACTGTGAACAGTCATGCAACTGATGACATCTGTGACGAAATACCTTCAGGAAGTTTTTTCTTTCAATTTCACTGTTCCATAAGTGTTCTTGTGGCTAGCTGGTTCGTCAGCGGATTTTTGTGCTTTTAGATAATGTGCGCCCTGCTACTCGCTGTCCCATTAATCAGGATGTTTGGTTCAAATTCAAGCAGGGCCATTCCAACGCCGTTCGTCGTCCATTCCTGATGAGCAATCTGTTGTAATCTGCCCTAGACTAGGGCAAAGAACTGTGTTTCGGAATGTATTTGTCTGCTATGTGTAAATCTTTGATTTCCTATTATTTTTAAAAAAACCTACGCTTTTCTTGATTGATATCTCCTTCAAATGCTGGCTGGGAAGTCACGAACTGCTGACCCTTAGTCTTCCAAACCCCCCTCGTGGCAACAAACCCGGCCGGATATTCTAAACCGTCAGTTCCCTTCTTGGTTCTGGTGGTGCGAAGAGATCGTTGCTCAGGATTGATTAGGGAATACTAGCCCTGGGGTGTACGTTAGATTCCGCGGTTCCTGCTGCCCAGGTGGTCTGTTGGGCGTGGCTTTAACCGACTTCTCCGTCCGGGAGATTGGGTACGGGGAGTGTCTGGAAGGTGTGGTGTCGCGCTAAGTCTTCTGACGGCACAAAGTTCCTGCTGGTTGGCCTCGAGAGAGAGCCCGTAAGGTACAACGGAACGAGTGAGTTCCGTAAGAACGATCGGTGAGCGCCCCCTACCATTGTATATTCCCGATCGAAACCGATGGGACAACGGGCTCGTGGCCCAGTGGTTAGAGGCATTGACTGCTAACTAACAGGTCGCGAATTCGAGCCTCGGGTGTTTCACACTTCGGGGATGGGTATGACTGGCTGACGACGACGACTAATAAGCCAGAACTGGCCATTCCAGTCTCCCTTGTCTTTGTCGGTAATAACACTCAGTCCATATCATGCGCCGCTGTGCGGCTGCTGGTAGAACTCAAAATATAACCCCAAGACGCAACGCAGTACGAGTGAGTTCCGGAGAAACGATCGTTGAGCGCCCCTCCACCATAGTTTTCCTCTAAAAGGCCAGATGGTGAGCATACGATTGCTTTCGATAAATTCTCGTCAGGGAACCGGTGACAAGCAAGAACATGTCAGCGATAAGAGAAATCGACTAAAGTTCGTTTTAAAACACAGGCGATGTGTGAGAATGTGGGGGGAGGGCGAGGGATAGTAGTAGTCAGTGCTAGGGGCGGGGTGAGAGCGGAAGGGCGCGCGGAGAGTTGCAGCGTTAGCTGTCCTTCGACCACCGGTAGGCGCGGAGCCTGAACGTGGTTCTTCTGTGCGCACAGATTGCTTTCCGTAAGCTGACGGCGGCCGCCACTGCTGTTGCTAACAGAAGCGGGTCCAGTGGTTTAGGATAGCTCGATGGGACCGTCTAAAGTCACGCGAAAGGCTTCTCCGGGGGGTCCAAAGGACTCCCGGAATCAGCAACATGCGCGAGAATGGCGCTGTATATGCTCCTAATGTGGCCTTTTCTCAGCTATGCCGGGAGGTGTTCTCGGATTCTCTTGGATAGGCGCCGACTTGTGCGACAAACATAACCTGCTCCAAAGCAGTAAGTGAGAGAAAAGGATGCGTATTGATGTGATTTGAGTTGGCAAACTATCCTTGCTTTCTCCGCGTAAAATAGGGTTGGTAGAGAGTGTTACTCTAACCCTTGCTGCTGGGAAGGTTCGTGA